TTTACTTTCACTCTTTAGGACATTGTAATTATTATTATTACTTTTTGATACTTTTTTGTGTACCCTTATTGGATGCTTTTAGTATTACTTGTTTGTTTGTTCTTTGATTTTTTTAGCGAGTCAAATCGGCTCTTCTCATCCTGAGCTTTTCATTGTACTGTTGACCTTGTGTTATCCTGCATATGACAGTTAAACACAACTTAAAATGAATTCATCCTAAACCAAGCTGTAAACATGAACTGATGACTGGATGAACATTCGTTACACTCCGTCAGCTGTTTATATCTTTTATTTCTGTTTTACATGAAATGTAAGATGCTTTTTTTTACATACAGTTGATGTTTCCCTTCAGTGTCTGGGTTGAAACACTGATAAACTCCTGTGGTAGTTAAACTACAATCAGTCAGATTTTACATAAATACATTTAAGATCAAGACATCTGGAGTATTTTTCAAAGGCCTGAAATGTTTGTAGAATCATAACTGACATTTAAACCAGATCCATTTGAATGTTTTTTATGCTGCAAACTAAAAATCTCTGCTGGAGTTTGTACCTTCCCCAACATGTTCTGTGAGGAAACAGTTCTGTTGGACTGGACTCTGGTGCTATGAACAGAGAAACACTCATTCTGCTGTGGCAACAGATGTGTCTTTTAATGAACTTATAAATAAGAGTTGTGTTGCTAAAGACACCGGAGCGTGGGACGTGCTCGGACTGGATGTAGACTATCTGAAGCGCTGCCTGGGAGGGATATAGTCTATGATCCGAGGACTGACGTGGGTCATGTACTGCAGGGAGGGATCTGCGTAGTTGAAGGGAGGGGGGTTGTAGTGCTCCTGGATGTGCTCGGGGTAGTGGTGCGAAATGCTGGAAGGAAACAGGACATCAGAGGCATCAGTGATCCAAGATACAGTAAAATGATGAACACCTTTTATTTTTGTGTTTAAAGACTCGTCATTCAGCACTTGAACATCATTATCAGAGTCAGAGATTCTTTATTATCATTCACATCACATGGGGTACATGAGGTGGAACAAAACTGTGTACACAGGGTCCCAGTTACATCCAACAATAGCAAAAATATAAAGTGTAAAAAGAAACAGTAAATAAGGATCTGAGATGGAAACTAAGATATACGCTACACAAACGCCTAACAGGACGCTAAAACATCTAAGATATACGCCAGTCACTAATGGTGCAAAACAACACACTGAACAACAGCAGCACGACTCTCAGGTTCTGTTTGGCTATAATTTACACGCTTAATGCGAGAACTAACATAAACTAAACTAACATAAACT